AATAATTTTTTTTACATATTAATTTATTAAATTCATTTTTTTAATTATCATTTATTGAAATTTTAAATGTTTGTTAAAATGTTTTAATTTTTTTTAACTCTATATTTTATGAGATTTATGTTTTACGAAACAAATTATATGCAGTCCGTTTTATTAAATTTGTTTTTATATTATTTTTAAAAAAATATTTAATTAATTTTATAAAACAAACTACATACAATTTGTGCTGTAAAACAGTTTTCAGATATTTTATTTATTTTCATTTTTCCCCGTCTCTTTATATATTTATACACCAACCTTGAAATCATCACTCTTTTCTGTTACTTCTCCCTTCATTTTCAGTCTCTCTCCGCCGCCTCGGAGCCTTCAACAATGGTGGATCTTCAGACTGTTTATTGCATGTGCGGCGACGTTGGCTTCTCCGACAAGCTCTTCCGCTGCAACAAATGCCGCCACCGCGTTCAGCACTCGTACGCCCCGCGCCTTCTCCCGATCCTTCCAAATATTAATCTACATCACATCCATGGCCAAACCATCATCATAATCATCGCCATTTTTATGCATATAGAGATATATATAGACATACAGCATGATCATTATCATCTTCTGCCGTCACCAACTTCTCGGTCTTAAAGCTCAGCCAACTCTACTAGTACCTGCAGCATCAAAAGAAATCAGACTAGTAGAAATCAATAATGGAGCTAAGAAACAGGGAATATATAACGCCTGTAAATCAACAGTTTCTCCCAGTGAGTGGGAAAGCAAGAGTAACCCATTTAACATCTCAAAATATTATCAAAACATATATAAATCTCGATCCATGCCAAACATCAGTAAATATGAAAAACCGAAGTCACTTTCACAAATAATATTTCATCCAAAAGTATTTTCTTACAAGGAACCATTTATTATGAATCAAAACAGAAGCAAAGGTAGCTAGAGTGAAAAGAAAAATCTGACTACTAATCCACCTCGGCAGCTGGATGCTCCACTTCTAACATCTTGAGAATTGTAGCACCATCATTAGTAATGGTTATATCACCAATATCATCAACAAGCATCTGAAATAAAACAACACAAATCATAGTGAGTCAAACTCAAATCCAATCCTAACAATCTTACACTAGCTGAACAACATTTTAAAAATAAAACCAATAGCAATACCATAGATAATAGATATTGTCCAAAACATACTCAATAGATTTTCCATAGGTATCATAATTGCAAAATAAAAATAGTCATACTTTGTAAGTTAAAACCTCATAAAGCAGTGAAATAAGGCACTTGCATAAACATACCTTGTCGAGTCCAACGGGGCCTAGTGAGGATTTGACGATGTTAGCAACTGCTTGGCACGCCATCACTGTTACACGCACCCAAAATGAGAGAAAAATGAGTTTCAAGCGAGGAAAACACTTCAATAACGTTGGAATCAACTCAGTTGTGCAATTTATTGAGCAAAATAACTTCGACGGCGATAATAGATCACGCATAAAGAGGGGAAGAGACGTAGAGAGGAAGTACCGTTCTGTGTGCGCACGTCTTGGCCAGATTGACGCTCTCCTTGAATATCAGGAGCTTGAGCAGAGATTGCCA